GATAGCAAAATTATGGCATGTTAATTACCCAATCAAAATCAGGATCCATAGTATACTAGGTTGTATAGAAAAGCACATAAATGCAGGCACAGTAAAGCATTAAAGTCGTGTTTCTGCTTGTTCCTGTGAACTCTGTGAGCATCCTCTTTCAAAACCCAATAGCATCCCAATAATACCATGATGTTGAAAGTGGACAGTACATAAAAGTCCTACACTCCTTCATGTCTGCATTAGGTGTTGCACAAACAAATCCATCTGAGTAGACCAAAATCACATTGTTTGCCAAAGGAACTTAAGCATAGCTATCATTAAACCTCTTTGCCTGAACCCCAGATTCTTGGAAGACATTAGTATCACTCAGGCTAGGGACAGAAATTACACATAAACCGGCATAAGTGATCAGAAAGTGGTTCAAATCTGTAACACGACAGAAGTTCAGTGCACATAAACCACTTTCAAAATGACCAAAACTGGTTTAAGATATTACCTGGATGGATATAGTATCAGACTTAATTAATTTAGGTTAAATTGGTTTATTGAACATGTGTCCCAGACCTCTTCCAGATTCAAGTTAACCCCATAGTCCCCCAGCATGCCAGGATGCTTTGCACCTCCCCTTGGAGGGTGAGAGGGATAGCTTTAGCCCAAGCTGTCTGCCCCAGCCAAGCAGAAAGGTGTGCTCTAGCACCTTTGGCTTCTGGTCTAGGCGACTGTAGGCATGTGCCTGCATTTTCAGAATCATGAATGAATGTTCATTTGCTTATCAGTTCTATCTACACAATTTAAAATAAACTGTGAAGATTGAATCAATCAGCCTCAAGATTTTCAACTATCTATAGTTAGCCCCAAACATCAGCTACTTTATAATTCCAATTTATTTAATTCATAAGGCCTCCTTTTTTTCACCTTCTAACCATCAACTGCTTCAATCCTAAATATGCATTCTTTGAGAGGTCAACACACTACAGCTAAAGTCAGTGCAGTGCGGTTCCTCAGTCCTTTATTTTGATTGTTCTCAAATCCTCCCTATACATGCATACAGATTAGGGGGTAATGAGCAAAGCTGGATACACAGAAAGTGCTTGAGTCTTATAAATTCACTTTCTATAAAGAACGCTACACAGCACGTTTAAGTGAAGAAAACAAAACGCACTTTATTAAGGCCAGGATTCAACAGTTTGTATTATTCTATTTATCTGGATTCCTAGATAGGAACTCGAGGCCCAATTTAGGAAGACTTTTAAGCACATAATTTAATATTTTTAATTACAAAACCACTTCTGATTAGTTTGCAGCTCTTAAGCACATGCTAAGATGTTTTGTTGAATAAAAGTGACTTTTCTGAACTAGAGAATAGTTCTGATAACAGTATTGTTACATTGTATTAATGCCATTAACTTGCTCTGTTCTAGTTTTAATTTTTGTGGTCATTCTTTTTTCTTTTTCTTTCTTTTTTTTGCAATAATGAGGAGAATTTGGAGGAAAATACATAATCGTTATAAATACAATTGTGTTTTTGTTGAGGCTCATCCTTTAAAATGTGATCTGAAAAAGAGAAATATTTACCACTGAGAATTTCTGCATCTCAAAATAATGACACAACCTTATGCTCTGTGTGTGTGTGTGTGTGTGTGTGCACGCACATGCATGTGTATGTGTGCCCACGAACACGTGCATGCACATAGGCACATGTGTGTATATACATGCAAAAAAAAATTGTATATAATTGACTAGTGGAAAAACTATCTGGATAAAAAGTGTTATGTAACATTAATCCACACAGCTATCATGTGGAAGTAACTTCAAAATATAACAGAACAATTGAAAAATATAGTAGAAAAGATGAATTGAAATTTCCCTA